GAGGAGGAGGAGGAGGAGGAGGAGGAGGAGGAGGAGAGGAGGAGGAGGAGGAGGAGGAGGGGAGGAGGAGGAGGAGGAGGAGGAGGAGGGGGAGGGAGGAGGAGGAGGAGGAGGAGGAGGAGGAGGAGGAGGAGGAGGAGGAGGAGGAGGAGGAGGAGGAGGAGGAGGAGGCGGAGGAGGAGGAGGAGGAGGAGGAGGAGGCGGAGGAGGAGGAGGAGGAGGAGGAGGAGGAGGAGGAGGAGGAGGAGGAGGAGGAGGAGGAGGAGGAGGAGGAGGAGGAGGAGGAGGAGGAGGAGGAGGAGAGGAGGCGGAGGAGGAGGAGGAGGAGGAGGAGGAGGAGGAGGAGGAGGAGGAGGAGGAGGAGGAGGAGGAGGAGGAGGAGGAGGAGGAGGCCTCCGAGGAGGTGACAGTGGACAGGAGAAGCGCCGGAGGAGGGGCAGTCAGAAGAGGAGCAGATGAGGAGGCGTCGGAGCAAGAGGCGTCCGAGGAGGCGACAGAGGAGAGGAGCAGAGAGGAGGTTGGCCGGACCATCGCCCGCGCCTCCGCCAGCCCCCGGGCTCGCGCCGGCACCTGGGCTCGCGCCTACGCCGGCACCAGCGCCAGCGCCTGCGCTGGCACCGACGCCAGCTCCGTCGCCAGCATCCTCGTTATCGCTGACTCCAGCTTGGACGCCGACGCCCGCGCCGGCACCGGCGCCAGCGCCGGCGCCGGCACCGACGCCGGCCCAGACGCCAGCACGAAGGTTTCCAACGAAGCCAGCTCGGAAGCAAACGCCTACGCCGACGTCGGCCCCGAGGCCAAGCCGGAGGAGGAGGAGGAGGAGATGAAGGAGGAATTGGCGGAGGAGGCGAACGCGCCAGGTGAGTCTGAAGAGGCTGAAGATGCTGACGACGCCGGCGCCAACGCCCGCGCCTGCGGCGGCACCAGCGCCAACGCATCCACCAGCACCGACGCCAGCTCCGACGCCAGCATCATCACCGTCGCCGACGCCAGCTCGGACGCCAACGCCTGCGCCTACGCCGACCCCGAGCCCAGGGTTCGGGAGGAGAAGGAGGAGCAGGGGGAGGAAAGGGAAGAGGTGGCGAAGACGCCAGTGGAGGACGAGGAGGCCCAGGAGTCCGAAGTCGTCATCGCCTGCGCCTACGCTGGCACCAACGCCGTCGCCTGCCCCGTTGTCAACGCCAGCCCCGATGCCAGCGCCAACGCTGCCGATGACGCCAGATCGGACGCCAGCGTCGGCGCTTGCGCGGGCCCCGCGGTCAAGGCTGAGGATAAGGAGGATGAGACGGAGATGCTGGAAGAGGGCGAGGAAGTTGAGGAGGTTGAGGACGCCAGCACCAACGTCTGCGCCTACGGCCGCGCCAACGCCAGCGCCTGCAGCAGCACCCACGCCAGCTCCGCCACCAGCGGTGGCCAGCGCCAGCGGCGGGCGGTGCGCAATTGCGGCTTTCTCTTGGAATCTACGCCTCGAGCCCTCAGCGGATCGTGCGCTGTTGGGCCCGACTCGAGCCCGCGTCCCCCAGGTGCAGCCGAGGCCGAGGAAGAGGGGGAGGGGGAGGCGAAGAGGCCAGGAGAGGACGAGGAGGCTGAGGAGGCTGAGGACGCTGGTGCCAGTACCATCACCCGCACCTACGCCGGCGCCAACGCCAGCACCAGCACCAACGCCACCCCAGACGCTGGGACAAACACCTCCACTGAAGCCAGCTCGGATGCCAACGCCCGCGCCGATGCCGACCCCGAGGCCAAGGCTGAGGAGGAGGAGGAGGAGGAGGAGGAGGAGGAGGGGGGGAAGGAGGAGGAGGAGGAGGAGGAGGAGGAGGAGGAGGAGGAGGAGGAGGAAAGATGACGGAGGAGGAGTTGGCGGAGGAGGCGAACCTGCCAGAAGAGTTTGAGGAGGCTGAGGACGTCGGCCCCGACACCTGCGCCTACGCCGGCACTAACGCCAGCGCGTCCACCTGCACCGACGCCAGCTCCGACGCCAGGATCATCGCCACCTCTGACGCCAACTCGGATGCGGACGCCCGCGCCTACGCCGGCCCCGAGGAGAAGGAGGAGAAGGTGAAGGCGCCATATGAGGGCGAGGGGGCCCAGGAGACTGAAGGCACCAGCGCCCGCGCCTGCGCTGGCACCAACGCCGGCGCCTGCCCCGGCGCCAACGCCAGCCCCGACGCCAGCACCAACGCTGCCGCCGACGCCAGATCGGATGGGGAGCATGTGGCGAGGATGCCAGAAGAGGGCGAGGAAGTTGAGGAGGCTGAGGCCGCCAGCACCAACGTCTGCGCCTACGGCGGCACCAACGCCAGCGCCTGCGCCGGCGCGGGCGCCAGCCGCGCCAGCTGCTGCGCCGACGACGGCACTGGCAACTGCGCCGACGGGGGGCACTTGCAGCTGCGTCGACAGCGTAGCCGACAGCGGCTCCGACCGCCGCTCAGACTGCGGCGCCGGCAGCCGCGCTAGCTGCATCGCCGACGACGGCACCGACAGCTGCGCCGACGGCGGCACTTGCAGCTGCGTCAACAGCGTAGCCGACAGCGGCTCCGACCGCCGCGCAGATCGCGGCGCCGGCAGCCGCGCCAGCAGCTGCGCCGGCGGCGGCGCCGACACTTGCGCCGACGGCGTCGCTGACAGCTGCGAAGACGGCGGCGCCAACAGCTGCGTCGACAGCGTCGGCGACTGCGGCTCCGACAGCCGCGCAGACCGCCGCACCGACCGCCGCACCAGCAGCTGCACCGACGACCGCACCGGCGGCTGCGCCGACGGCGGCACTGGCAGCTGCGTCCACAGCGCTGCCGACGGCGCAGACTGCGGCGCCGACAGCCGCACCAGCAGCTGTGCAGACGACGGCGCTGGCAGCCGCGCCGACGGCGGCACCGACAGTTGTGCCCGCAGGGCGGCCGACAGTGGCTCCGACTGCCGCGAAGACCGCGGCGCCGACATCTGCTCCAGCTGCTGCAACGACGACGGCACCGACAGCTGCGCTGACGGCGGCGCCGACACCCGCGCCGACAGCGTCGCCGACAGCGGCTCTGGCTGCCGCGCAGACCGCGGCGCCGACAGCCGCGCCAGCAGCTGTGCCGACGACGGCGCCGACACCTGCGCGGACGGCGTCACCGACAGCTGCGACGACGGCGGCACCGACGGCTGCGTCGACAGCGTCACCGACGGCCGCTCCGACCGCCAAACAGGCCGCGGCATCGACAGCCGCGCCCGCAGGTGCTCCGACGACGGCACCGGCGGCTGCGTCGACGGCGGCACCGGCAGCTGCGCCCACAGCGTCGCCGACTGCGGCTCCGACCGCCGCGCAGACCGCCGCGCCGACGGCCTTGCCAGCAGCTGCTCCGGCGATGGCGCCGACTGCTGCGCCGACGGCAGCACCGACGGCTGCGCCGACAGCGTCGCCGACAGCGGCTCCGACCGCCGCGTAGACCGCTGCGCCGACAGCCGCGCCGGCAGCTGCGCCGACGGCGGCGCCGACGCCTGCGCCGATGGCGTCGCCGACAGCTGCGCCGACGGCGGCACCGACAGCTGCGGCGCCGGCGGCCGCGCCAGCAGCTGCGCCCACGATGGCGCCGACAGCTGCGCTGACGGCGGCACCGACAGCTGCGTCCACAGGGCAGCCGACAGCGGCTCCGACCGACGTGCAGACCGCGGCGCCGACAGCCGCACCAGCAGTTGCGCCAACGACGGCCCTGGCAGCGGCGCCGTCGGCGGCACCGACAGCTGCGTCCACAGCGCTACCGACGGCGGCCCTGACCGTCGCGCAGACTGCGGCGCGGACAGCCGCACCAGCAGCTGCGCCGACCACGGCGCCGACACCTGCGCCGACGGCGTCGCCGGCAGCTGCAACGACGGTCATGCCGACGGCGGCATGTCTGCATCAACGTCGGGATTGCAGGCACCGCCGACACCAGCTCCGACGCCAACGTCGACACGCGCGCCATCTACGTCGTCAGCAGCCGCCTCAAGTTCGAGTCGGCAGATCTGTGCGCCGCTGGCCGCCTCGCGCCACGGTGCCGCCGCTGGCAGCCTTGCGCCGCGGGAGCCGCCACTGGGTTCGAGACCGCCCAGGCCAGCGCCGACGCCAGCATCGAGGCCAGCACGGACGACAACATCGTCGTCCGCATCGCCAGCGTCAGCACCCACGTCTACGCCCTGCGCAAAAGACCAGCAAGCGCGGAGGAGCAGCAGCTTGAGGAATAAGAGGAGAGGCCGAGGCAACACGCCATTGTTAGGGCTTTGCGGCGGCGTCGCTTGGGGTCAGGGCGGCCAGGACTTCCTGCGCGACAGGGGCCAGGGTCGCACCAACGCCAACACCGCCACCGGCACCGAGGCCCGCCCGGGCGCCAACGCAGACGCTTCCACCGAAGCCAGCTCGGACGGCAACGCCTACGCTTACGCGGGCCCCATGGCCAAGGCTAAGGATGAGGGGGGCGATGCTAAGATGCCGGAGAAGGGCGGCGAGGGAGTTGAGGAGGCTGAGGACAGCGGCACCAACGCTTGCGCCTACGGCGGCGCCAACGCCCACGCACGCTCCAGCACAGACGCCAGCTCCGCCGCCAGCGCTGGCCAGCGCCAGCGGCGGGCGGTGCGCAATCGCGCGGCCAAGATCGAGGCCAGTCCTAACGGCAGAAGTTCTTGGGCGGCGGGGGCCAGCATGGCCTCTGAACGAGGAGCTCCTCGGAGGCTGGCGGAGGAGAGGGGACGCCGCCTGGCGCTAGGGGGTCAGCAAGCCGCTAGGTGGAGGGGGCAAGGATGCCAAGATATGACGAGGAGGCTGAGGGGGCTGACGACGCTTGCACCCACGCTTGCGCCTACGCTGGGACTAACGTCAGCGCCAACACCAGCGCCGACGTCAGCTCCGACGCCAGCCCCAACGCTTCCACTGAAGCCAGCTCGGACGCCCACGCCTACACCGACGCTGGCCCCGAGGCCAAGGCCGAGGAGGAGGAGAAGGAGGAGGAGGAGGGGGAAAAGGCAGGAGGAGGCGAACATGCCAGAGGAGTCTGAGGAGGCTGAGGACGCCGGCGCCAGCGCTTGCATGTGCGGCGGCCCCAACGCCAGCGCTTGCACCAGCATTGATGCCAGCTCCGACGCCAGCATCATCGCCACCTCCGACGCCAGCTCGGACGCTAGCGCCTGCGCCTACGCCAGCCTCGAGCCCGAGGCTGGAGAGGAGAAGGAGGAGGAGGAGGAGGAGGAGGCGAAAACGCCAGAAGAGGACGAGGAGGCCCAGGATACTGAAGACGCTTACGCCTGCGCCTACGCCTGCGCCAACGCCAGCGCCTGCCCGAACGCCAGCGCCAGCTCAGACGCCAGCGCCAGCGGCGTCGACGGGGTGAACTTCAAGGTCGGGATCGTGGAGAGCGTCTCGGACGGCAGACTCGACCTAGACAACGGCCCGAAGGCGACCGAGGCGACCCGGGCTGCGCTGGCGGACTGGTGGACGATCATCTTGTACGACTCGATGGGCGTGCCCGAGAGCCTGCAGACCAGCAAGGGCACCCACGGCGTCGCGGGGCCACCGAGGCCGGGAAGGCAGAGGAGGCCAGGAAGGCCGATGAGGCCAGGGAGGTCGCAGAGGCCGAGAGGGCTGATGAGGCGAGGAAGGCTGAGGAGGCCAGGAAGGCGGAGGATACCAGGAGGGCTTCTGAGGCCGAGAAGGCCGAGGAGGCCAGGCGGGCCGAAGGGGCCCAGACGGCCGGCGAGGCCGAGAGGGCAGAGGAGGCCGAGGTGGCAGAGAAGGACGTGGAGGCCAGGCCGACGAGCTCGCCTGCAGCGGCACGTACTGCGACGGCGACAGCCGCGCTGACAGCGGCCCCTACTGCGGCACCGACGGCTGCGCCGATTGCGGCACCAACGGTGGCGCCGGTTGGCACTCCGGCAGCTGCGCCCGCGGCGGCACCGGCAGCTGCACAGTCTGCGGAGCCGACAGCGGTGGTAGCCGCAGCACCGACAGCGGCACCGACATCGGCGCTTACAGGCGCGTCGAGAAGGGCGCCGACGGCGGCGCCGACGGCGGCGGCGACGGCTGCGCCGACAGGTTCGCCGACAGCTGCGCCGACGCCCGCGCCGACTGCAGCCGTGCCGGCTGCGGCACCGACCGCCCCGACGCCTGCCTCGCCGCCAGCGGCGTCGACAGCGGCACCGACAGCGGCGCCTGCGCTGACATCGACCTGTTCACCGACAGCGGCGCCGACTGTGGCACCAACGATGACACAGATCGGAGCCCCGTCTGCGGTGCCGACAGCCGCGCCCATTGCGGCACCGACAGCTACGCCGAATACGGCGCCGATAGCCGCGCTGACGGCGGTGCCGATGGGTTCGCCAGCTTCGGCACCGACCGCGGCGACAACAGCAGCGCTGCCAGCCGGGCCGACAGCGGCATCGGCAGCCTCGCCGAGTGCGGCGCCGACGGCGACGACAGTTGCGCCGACTGCGGCACTGGCAGTTACGCCGACCGCGGAACAGAAGGCCACGCCGACAGCTGCGCCGACATCGGCGCCGACACTTGCGCCGACTGCAGCAGCCACACCTGCGCCGGCAGCGCCGCCGACAGCGGTTTCGACCGCCGCGCCGACTGCGGCGCCGACAGCTGCGCCGACTGGGGCTCCGACGGCCGCGCAGGCGGCGGCGCCGACGGATGCCCGGGCCGCCGTGCCGATTGCCGCGCCAATGGCTGCGCCGACGGCCTCGCCGACGGCCTCGCCGACTACGATCCTGGCGGCTGCGCCAACTGCGGCGTCAGCCGCCTCGCCGACAGCAGGGCCGACGGCGGCGCCGACCGTCTCGATGGCAGCAGCACAGGCTGCTGCGCGAACGGCAGCACCGACAGGCTTTCCGACTGCTGCGCCGACTGCGGCCCCGACAGCCGCCCAGACAGCTCCGCTGGCAACTGCGCCACCTGCGGCACCAGCGAGTGCACCGACCGCGTGGCCGACAGCTGCGCCGACTGCGGCACTGACTGCTGCGCCGACAACGGCGCCGACAGCTGCCCCGACGGCGGCGCCCGCGGCGGCCCCGGCCGCCGCGCCGACTGCGGCGCCAGCAGCTGCGCCGACAGAGTCGCCAGCAGCGACTCCGACCGCAACGCCGACAGCTGCGACGACCGAGTCACCGACAGCTGCGCCGACAGGTCCGCCAGCTTCGTCACCTACCACGGTGCCAACAGCTTCGCTGACCGCCATGCCGACAGTAGCACTGACTGCCGCGCCGACCGAGGCGCCGGCAGCCGCATCGGTCGCGGCCCCAACAGCTGCGTCAGCGGCGGCGCAGACGGCGGCTCCGACCGTCGCGCTGACCGATGCGCCGACAGCAGCAGCGACAGCGGCGCCGACACCAGCGCCGACTGGCGCGCCGAGGAGGGCGCCGACGGCGGCAACGACGGCGGCGCCGACAGCAGCGCCGACAGGTTCGCCGACAGCTGCACCGACGGCCGCGCCGACTACGGCGCCGACGGCGCTGGCAGCCGCGCAGACAGCTCCGCTGGCAGCGGCTCCGACCTTCGCGCCGACCGCGGTGACGACGACTGCACGGACAGCTGCGCCCATTGCGGCACCGACGGCTTCACCGACAGCGCCGACGACGGTTGCCCCGACGTCCGCGCCGATCGCTACACCGACCGCTGCGCTGACGGCTGGGCCAACTTCGGCCCCGACCGTTGCGCAGACTGAGGCATGGACCGCCTCGCCTACAGCAGCGCGGGCAGCCGCGCCGCCTTCTCCTGGCGAGGGGGCGATCGCCAGCGAGGCGGAGGCAGCCGGAGCGGCCACTACAGCAGGGGCGACTGATGAAGGGTGGGGCGTGGAGTTTGACAGGGGCGACTGGAGCCTCTACCACGTGTCCTGGCGAGGAGGTGATCACCAGCGAGGCGGAGACAACCGGGGCGGCTATCCCAGCGGGAGCGACGCCAGCGCCAACGCCGACGCCTACGCAAGCACCGACGCCAGCGCCCACATCAGCACCGACGCCCCCCGCTGGCGCTAGTGCTGGCGCCTACGCCAGCACCGACGCCAGCGCCTATGCCAGCACCAACGCCTGCGTCTACGCCAGCACTGCTAGCGGCGCCTTCGCCAGCGCCGACGCCAGCGCCTACGTCGGCACCGACGCTAGCGCCAACGCCGGCGCCTACGCTGGTGCCAACGCAAGCACCTACACCAGCGCCGACGCCGGCACCGACGCCAGCACCAGCGCCTGCGCCTGCGCCAGCACTAGTGGCGGCGCCAACGCTTACGCTGGCGCCGACGCCAGCGCCTGCACCAATACCGACGCCAGCACCAACGTCTGCGCTTACGCCGGCACCAACGCCTGCGCCTACGCCAGCACCGACGCCAGCACCAACGCATGCGCCTGCGCCAGCACCAACGCCAGCGCCTACGCCAGCACTAACGTCGGCACCGACGCCAGCACCAACTCCTGCGCCTACGCCGGCACCAACACCAGCGCCTACTACGTCGACCGCTTCGCAGACAGCTGCGCCGGAAGCGGCGCCGTCCGCTTGATGACAGCGGCGCCGACAGTTGCGCCGACAGCTGCGCCGACTACGGCACCGACCGCTGCGCCGATGACGAGCGTGTCTCGCGTCGCTAGTCTGGCACGCGTGGAGCTCGATGTGAAATTTTACGTAGGCGGGCTCCTGTGCAATGTGATGGAGAGGGCTGGCTTCGCAGACGAGGGCGAGGCCGAGGAGGAGGGGGAGGAGGTCGAGCGGACGAGCCGCAAGGACGCTCTCCACGTGGAGTTCGGCTACCCCACGGAGAAGCTTGAAGAGTTGGCGCGGTGGATGGATGGCGCCCTCGGCTGCCGGACGCTCGCCGAGGGCCATCGTCGCTCCGTCTGCGATCCATGCGTCGTCGGCGCCTGGGTATTGCCGACCCGCTTGGAAGACGCGGTCGGCCCAGCTTTCGATCCGCATCTGACGGGCGAGGGCGTGCGAGCATCTCATGGGCTACGAGGAGCTCAGCGGCGTAGGCACGTCCATGGAGGCCGAGCTTCTCAGGGCCAGAGGCGAGGAGCGCGGAGGGGCCACTCCAGACCAGAGGCCGAGGAGGCGAGGAGGAGCGCTGGCGGACGCAGGCCGCGGCTGCCGAGGCCAGGGGCGAGGAGTGCAGAGGGGCCACTTCGGGCCTGAGGCTGGGGGGGCGGCCGCGCGGGTGGCCAGCAGGAGTGAGGAGGCGCCAGATGGCGCGGAGGCAGAGGGCCTGCGGAGGCTCAGGGCGATGCCGGGGTGCGCATTGTCGGCGGCCTGGCGCATCAGGGGGGCAGTGGGGGTCACGCCAGAGCGAGCCCACTGCGGGGGTGGGCTAGGGTCCGCGGCCCCCAGCGAGAGCCGCGGGTGGAGCAGCCGGCGCACGTGCGCCATGAGCGCGGGAGGGGGCCAGGGCTGTCGGCGAGGGTTGGCCTCGCGGCAGCCAGAGCTCGCGCCAGCCTGCGGAGGAATGGCGCCCAGTTGCACTCGTACTATTGCATGGGGCTAAGGAAAAACAAGGGTACAGCATCGTCACCAGTTGCGTCTGAGCTATGTGAGGCCTTCAGTGTAGTCCGCTTTCCTAAACTGCGTTGCCGTCCTTCCTCGCTCCGGGCCCCTTTGGGGCCCGCCTCCCGTGTCGGGCCCGGGGCCCGGGGCCCTGGCGGGGCTCCTTTCCCGCTTGTCCTCTTGCTGTTTAGGGTATCTTGGGGTGCAGCTTAGCTGCGCAATATAGTGCACCGTCACACCGCTGTGCGCCATAAATTAAGTTGTGTGCGGCCTGAGCGGCTTGGTTCTTTTCTCAGGGCGAGCGCTGTCCGGGAAGAGCCTGTAGGCCGCGATCCGCACGGGCCCGAGGGCGAAGCCTCGAGGGCAAAACTTAGTCGTTCGTTAGAACTAGGGGTTTTGCCCTGCTGGCGTAGCCCTCACTTCTGTCCTCTCTCTCTCTCTCTCTCTCGCCCTTCACCGTCTGCGCTCAAGTTTGCAGGCCCAGCGGGCCTAGGCCTCTCAGGGTCCCACCCGCCCACTCCTAGTAGCTCAGTGCTGCAGGGGTGGTGGGGGGCCAGTTTCGTTACGCGAATTCTGCCCTCCCCTGCAGCGGGGGGGCCAGGGCTGCCGGCGAGGGTTGGCCTCGCGGCAGCCAGAGCTCGCGCCATCCTGCGGAGGAATGGCGCCCAGTTGCACTCGTATTATTGCATGAGGCTAAGGAAAAAACAAGGGTACAGCATCGTCACCAGATGCGTCTGAGTCATGTGAGGCCTTCAGTGTAGTCCGCTTTCCTAAACTGCGTTGCCGTCCTTCCTCGCTCCGGGCCCCTTTGGGGCCCGCCTCCCGTGTCGGGCCCGGGGCCCGGGGCCCTGGCGGGGCTCCTTTCCCGCTCGTCCTCTTGCTGTTTAGGGTATCTTGGGGTGCAGCTTAGCTGCGCAATATAGTGCACCGTCACACCGCTGTGCACCATAAATTAAGTTGTATGCGGCCTGAGCGGCTTGGTTCTTTTCTCAGGGCGAGCGCTGTCCGGGAAGAGCCTGTAGGCCGCGATCCGCACGGGCCCGAGGGCGAAGCCTCGAGGGCCAAACCACGCGTTACGTGGCCCCATAGGGAGCTCCGCCGAAGGCCCCAGTGGCAGGACCCGCAGGGCGCCACCGCACCCATGTCGGCACACCCCTCCCACGGTTCGTGGCCCCATGGGGAGCTCCACCGACGGCCCCCGCGGCAGGGTCCGCATGGCGCCACCGCACCCATTTCGGCGCACCCGTCACACGCTTCGTAGCCGCATGGCGTATCCGCACCCGATTCGGTACGCCTCTCACAAGTTTCGTGGCCCCATATGGGAGCTGCCCCTCTTTCGTCTCACCTGCCTTGCGGCACTCGCATCCGTGTATGGCTGGGTCCTTCGCCTGGATAGGTGTTCTCGCTGCGTGGCCTCTGGACCTCTCGACCCCTCCCTGAGGACTGGTTTTCTTTCACGGGCTGTTTTTGGACAGTCTTTGAGCTTTGACGCGGTTCTGGCACGTCGAAATCGGCCATCATCGACAGCACTTAGCAAACATCACGACGTGCATCGTTGTATGTCCAAATAGAAAAAAACACGGCGCTGGGGGGTTGGGTCGCTCGAGTTCTCCAGAAGTTTGCGGATGTTTCCCTCGGGCCCGTAAAGGGGCAGGCGCCGGTACGGAAGCCTTGCGCAGCCGAGAAACGCAGCGCATCTGGATTGACGCAGGAAGCGGAGCGCATCACGACCGCGAAGCAGAAGACAAAGGTTCGAAAAGGGCCGCGCACGTCCTACCGTCCCGATCCTCGCCGAGAAGTGAAGACGTGCCCCGAGGCTCCTCGGCCGCAGCAGCCTCCTGCTCGGGCGGCTTTGGCTCGACGGGCTGGCCGCGCTGCCTGCGGGGGGCGCGGCAGACCCGAGGACAGCTCGTGCCCCGAAAACTCCTCCGCCTCGCCCCCCTTCTCCTCCATCACCTCCTCCTCCTCTGCCTCTTTCTCCTCCTTCCTTCTTGTATGGGGTATGCGTTCGCTGGCAGTTTGTCTCTTGGATTCAGGCAGGCACGCTCTTTGCCAACATATGCACGATGCTCGGAAGGGTCACCGTGATCATCCTCTCCATCAGCGTCTCATCGAACTTCTGAGTGGATGTGCTTCTGAAGGCTGCCCACACTCGCAATATGATATTCAACATCGAACGTTTTTTAGTTGGGAGTTTATGCAGATGATGCACCCGACCCTAACTCGGCCCACTTGGCCTACCCGTTGGTTTCCTGAGTATGGTCCTCGCTTGGACTCAACCCCTTGGGACGAGGTGCAACGGGTTGCTGCTTCGCTGAAGCCCTGTTGGGCCTAGGCCTGGTTCCGCACGATTTCGAACATGTGGATCACCAGTGCAGATGTCCAAAAGTCAGAGGCCGAACATGGCAACTCCGAATTCGGCTGTTCTCAAGCTTCGGGTGGCGATAAGCAAATCAACCATTACGGGTGCTGCATTCCCTTTGGTGCTCTTGTTGCCCGCGCTCTTGGGCTTCGGTCTCTTCCCTGGGCCCCCGTTGATCGCCTTGGCGTGCTGGATCCGTTTCGCAAGCCTGTTGATATTTCTGTCGCGGCCTGTTTCCTTTGCAATGCTATCCGAGCTGAAAGCTCGCTGCTTGGACGCCCTTTGTGCCGAGAGGAGGGCGATCAGCTCCTCCCAGTCGCGCGCCTAGCGTTGGGGCGATAAGCGATCGGCTGAGGATAATCAGCTGCGCCTCGGCCACGCGGCAGCAGGAGTAGGAGGAGAAGGAGGAGGAGGAGGAGGAGGAAGAGAGCGAGGAGGAGGAGGAGGAGGAGGAGGAGGAGGAGGAAGGAGGAGGATGAGGAGGAGGAGGAGGAGGAGGAGAGGGGGAGAGAAGGGAGGAGGAGGAGGAGGGGGATGATGATGACGATGATGACGAGGATGACGATGATGACGATGATGATTGTGGTGATGATGCTGCTGCTGATGATTATATTGATGATGCTGCTGATGATGATGGTGATGATGACGATTCTGATGATGCTCATGGTGATGGTGATTATGATGATGCTGTTGTTGATGATACTGCTCCTGATGACGACGATGCTGATGATGCTGATGATGATGCTGATGCTGATGCTGATAATGATGCTGCTACTGATGATGATGATGCTGATGATGATGCTGCTGATTATGATGATGATAGGGAGGAGGAGGAGGAGGAGGAGGAGGAGGAGCCTAGTTCCCCCTCCCTCCTCTCTTCCTCCTGGCAGAGGCGGCCTCCCCCTCCCCCTCCTCCTCCTCCTCCTCCTCCTCCCCTCTCCTCTCCTACTCGTACTCCTCCTCCTACTCTTCCTCCTACTTCCCCTCCTCTTTATCCTTCTCCTCCTCCTCCCCCTCCTCTTTATCCTCCACCTCCTCTCCTCTGCAGCCCGCGCTCGACGTGGGTCCTCCTCGTCGTCGTCTTCGTTTTTCTTCTTCTTCTTCTCTTCTCCTCCCTCCTCCTCCTCCTCCTCCTCCTCTTCCTCCTTCTCCTCCCTTCCTCCTTCTCCTGCTCCCCCTCCTCCTCCTCCTCCTCCTCCTCCTCCCTCCTCCTCTCCTCCATGCTTTCCCCTCCTCCTCCTCCTCCTCCTCCATCCTCCCTCCTCCTCCTCCTCCTCCTCTCCTCCTCCTTCTCCTCCTTCTTCTCTCTATTCCTCCTCCTCCTCCTCCTCCTCCTCCTCCTTCTCTCTTCCTCCTTCTCCTCCACCTCCTTTTTCTTCCTCCTCCCCTTCTTCTCATCCTCCCCCCTGTCCGCTTGCAGAGGTGGCCCTCATCACTCTCGCCGGCCTGGAGGGCAGGTTTCCTTGGGGCACCAGCCGGGCGGAGCACCGGTGGAACCCCAGGACGGTTTCCGCGCTCGGGGCGGCGCTGGACGAGGTCTCGCGGGAGGAATCCGCTACCACGCCCAGCCCGCGCTCGAGGAGCGGGGGGACCCCCCCACCTTCTCTGAGATCTGGTCGTTGCCATTTTTAAACACGGGGCGTTTGAAAAATGCCGCTGAGAGAGCCTAGGTCGCCGGTCGTGATTTTCGGAATGCTGTACTCTTTTCACAACGTTAGATCTGAGAGTTCTTGCGTCGTGGTTTTTGTTGACAAAAGGTTTTTGACTGCTTTCGGCCCCTGTGGGTCCTTGCGGGGCTCTGGAGCCGTCGAAGAACGACTCGGGATGCAGAGCTGGCCCCCGGGAACGTTCCAGACCAGCGAAGGTCCACGTTGTGAGAGAGTCACACCGTCGGAGGTTTGGAGAGAAACCCGCTGCTCCCCGGCCCCTCGCTGTAGGGCGAGGGGCGGGGTTCTCCTCCTCCTCCTCCTCCTCCTCCTCCTCCTCCTCCTCTTCCTCCTCCTGACCTTTCTCCATATATATACATATATGTATATACACATGTATACCGAGATATTACATGTGTATAGCTCCTCCCTGTCGCGCCCTAGGCGTGTCGGTAGGGCGGAGTGGGCGTTTCGCTCGAGACATCCTCACCGCTCATCATCTTGAAGCATGACATTTGCAATGGTTTCCAGGTTGGAGGGGTGTGGTTTCCAAAATATGGCTATCGCTTTACCTCCGCGAGCAGTCGTTATGGAAACCTGCGACAGCTTCGCCGACGGAGGGCAGTTGCCTCTCAAATTGTTGTTCTCGTCTTCGTGCCGCGCACATTCGTCTTCCAGGTTCGCAGCAATACTAAGGAGTCGTATGGTTGAAGTCCCAGGAATGGTGTTCTGGTGCGGAGTAGGAGTGTCAGTGCACAACAGTCGCGCTGGTTCGCTTCGTTGAAGTTCCAGGAGTGGTGAACTGGCACGGCTTAGGGGCTGTCAGGACGCAAAAGCCATGTTGTTTCGCGGAGTTGAAGTCGCAGGACTCGCGTAGAAGGTCGCATCAGCTTCAATAGTGGATGGCGGATGATTTGCAAATCTGACAGAAGTTACATGAACGGAACGCGGCCTCTTTTCAAGCGAGGCTTTGGCATGCCATGTCTTCAGCTTGGATGCCACAGGTTGAGTAGATGCACAGATGTAACACGTGAGGGCGGCTCCTTCTCAAAATGGGGTTCTCGCTTGAGACTTCTGTGAAGTCTCGGGCCAGAAGTGGAAACTTGTTCAACAGTGACACAGGTAAAGGTGGCCCTTTTTCAAAACGAGGGCCGCTGGAATTCGATCGCTTCGCTCACTCCGCCGGCCCGTATTGCATGATCGCTACTGCTTCGGCGCGAGCTCGGGGCCATTTCGGCGCCGCCGGAAGGAGGAAGATGAGGATAGGGAGGGGGAGGGGAGGAGGAGAAGAGGATGAGAAGGAACGGAGGAGGATGAAGAGAAATATGAGGAGGAGGAAGAGAAAAGGGCGGAGGAGGAAGCCTCTCGATGGCATCTTGCGGCGCTCTTGGGGCCAAACAGGGCCGTCGTCCAGATGCTTCTTTGGGAGGCCCTGGGGTCTGTTGAGAGGCCCTTCGGGGTCGCCTGGGAGACATTTTTGAAGCCTTGTAGGGCCTCTTTTGAGCCTCCTTGGAGCCTCCTGGGGTCTCTTGGGGGCCTCTTGGCGGCATCTTGGGCCATCTTGGGGGCCTCTCGGGGCCTCCTGGGGCTTTCTTGGGGCGGAAGGCTTGAGGTTTCGGTTCGTGGTCCCCATCTTGGGCCCCTCTTGGGGCTGTCTTGGGGCTCTCTTGGGCCGTCTGGGCCGTCTCGGGGCCCGTTTGGGCTCTCTGGGGGCCTTCTTGGGGGCCTCTTGAGCCGTCTTCGTGCGCTCTTGGGGGCCTCTTGGGCCGTCTTGGAGCATCGGAAAGCCGAAAATGCGACAAGGCCAAAGTCCTTCCAAAACCATCGTAAAATGAATGATTTTGGCCTCTCGGGGCGCTCTTGTGAGGCCTCTTGGAGGCCACTTGGAGCGTCTTGGCGGCTTCTTGGGCCGTCTTGGGATCATCTTCGGCGTCTTGGAGCGTCCTTTGGGCGTCTCGGGGGCCTCTTGGGCAGTCTTGGGGGCCTCTTGGGGCCCTCTTGGCGCGCTCGGGGGGGCCTGAGAGGCCGTACCCAGGAGGAAAACCATCTCTGAGTAAACCTTCCCGGGACCTTCCCGGGCTGCGGTCGGGGTACTTTTCGCCGGGGGACCCCCAGGGGCCGCCCCGCGCGCCCGAACTAGAATAATTGTGAACCAGTTGCCAGAGATCTTAGCACGCCTCTGGCCCGTTGGGCCGGCGATCGCAAGGAAGGCTCAGGCGACATGCCTTGCCCGCCCCTCCGACACGCCTCGAGGTGTTCACGAGGAAGAGGTACGGATCAGGAGGGGGAGGGGGGAGGAGGAGGAGGAGGAGGAGGAGGAGGAGGAGGAGGCAAGGCGTTGGAGGAGGAGGAGGACGATGAGGAGGAGAAGTGGGAGGAGGAGGAGGAGGAGGAAGAGGAGGAGGAGGAGAAGGAGGAGGAGGGGTAGAAAGAGTTTGGTGAGGGAGGTGAGGAGGATGAGGACGAGGAGGAGGGGGAAGAGGAGGGGAAGGAGGAGGACAAGGAGGATCACTGTAAAATCAAGACGCAATAACGATTATATATAGGCTTACGCCACATCCGCCGACCCCTCTATAAACTACTGGGCCTCTTTGGGGCTCCTTGGGGCTTCTTGGGTGCCTCACGTGGGCGTCTTGGGGCCGCTTGGGGGCCTCTTGGGTCCTCCGGAGAGCTTCGTTGGGCGGAACGCTGGAATTCGCGGTTCGTGGTCCCTCTCTTGGGCCCTTTCTGGGGCCATCTCGGAGCTCTCTTGGGCCGTCTAGGGCGCCTCTTGGGCCACGTTGGAGTTCTTTTGGGTTGTCTTTGGGGCCTCCTGGGAGTCCTGGTGGCCTCGTGGGGGCCTCGTGGACGTTTTTCAACGCCGTGAAGGCTAACAAGTTGGAGATGCTGAAAAAGGACGTTTTCCCAATTCAATTCCAAGATTTTGGTTTCTTGGGGGTTTCTTGGGAGGCCTCTTGGACGTTTCGTGGGGTGTCTCGGCGGCCTCTTGGGCCGTTTTGAGCTCATCTTGGGAGTCTTAGAAGGATCTTTCTTCGACTTGGGGGTTCTCGTGGACCGTCTTGGCGTCTTCTCGGGAAGCGTCAAGTGCTGTCGTGCAGCTCAAGAGCGAGCCCAGGGAGCCCAGACCGCCCCCGGTGAGTTCGGTCCAGGGACGCCCGGGGCCGGGGGGGGGGTAAAATCCCGGTTTGGGCTCCCTGGGGGGGATGAGGGGGGGGAACAATCTCACATGCCTGGCGACCCACAAGGGGTCGGTGGATTCTTCAGTGAACCCACCTTCCACGCTCCCTCTTCATAGGTCCCTGCAACAATGTATTGTCATTGCGGGGAATGGCCAAGTAGAAGGTAACGACTTACGACTCCTCAACCGCACTAAAACGTTATCCCTAGGATTTCCACGCCGCGGATCACCGTGACTATTGGGCCATGCTTGTCGTAAATCGTTCCAGATCACCATTCCTGGGATTATAACATACCGAATCAATCTGACTGTTGTGTCTTGGCAGGCTTAGGTCGTGCTATAACACGATTCCATGGACTTCAGCCATACGAATCCCCGAAGCGGCTGCGAACTTTAGGGCGATTGCACGCGACGGCAGGGCGATGAACACTATTTGGAAAAAGAGTTTGAAGGGGGCTGGGAGGCCCAGCCAGCAGCTTCGCCTCAGGCGAAGCCAAGTTCCAGTTCAGTTGTACCGTAGTGACGATAGTCCCAGTAGGAGAGGATGTGCCATCTTAAGCAATAGGAAGATCTTTTTGGTCTCGATAGCAATCGTGTGCCTCGCGATGAGGCGCAGTCATATTTGGGCGGCCGGCCGCTTGAGCCGACGCGGCCGCGGGCGCGCGCTCGCTTCCGCTCCTTACGTCTCTCAGCTCGCTTTAGAGTCGGGGGGGAGGGAGGCGAAGCGTGAGTCGTCCGCCCCTATACAGCAGGCACAGCAGCTAATATACAAAAGGACAGAAAAGGGGCGGGCCAGAAGGAAGGTGAACCCGCTCGCAAGTTGCTTGTACAATTCTGTATTTAAAATACTCCTCAGGCGGCTACAGAACCAGATGTCTGGCCGGCCCGATATGGAGTGTGACTCTTTAGGTCATGTTTGAAGGCCTGTATACCTCCCGTGACTTGTAGGAGCATTTCTCTGTCGATGCTCCCCTTGGTGTGACAATCCGCAGTCATGTCGCGGGTGTCGCACCACTGGAGGCTGTGCACGATTCCACGCTCCATCGTATCCAACAGATGTGTCCTAAAAGGGTACACTCAGTCGGCTTCTTCAAGTCTTTGCTTGACAAGGACTTAAACATAGATGCAGCATCTATGGTCAAAATGACCTTGGTGCTCAGGCCACCCAACTCAAGGATGTCTTTCAACTGAGTGGGCGTGAGCGGCCCTGCGTGGAGCTCGCGCAGAGTCACAATCGTGGGATAACCGTCCTCCGAATTATGGGCTGCTCATCGTGTCTCTGCTGAATAGCTCGAGCGGGCCTGCAAGCGGCGAGACTTGCAGTGCGCATCGATCAAGTGAGCGACAGGTTTACTGGAAGACGTGTTTCCACGTCGTAGCAGGATTGCCCGCGAATACCATAGCCTTTGACGTGGTCATTGGCGTCTCCATTCAGGCGTCGGTATCCTGAGTTGCTGTGCAGGTCGACCTTGCCAGTAAGGGTCATCGCCTGGTAGACGATCTTCTTCGGGCAGGCCTGCAGCTTCGGGCAGTCGTCGCACTTGGATGTTGGTCGGTTCTTGGACACGTTGTAGCGATACAACATACACCATCAACCACACCTGGGTGATTAATGCATACGCCAGTGCGCCCCTGAGGCTGGCGAACATGTCTGCAACCGTCTCTGAGCGTTAGCGTCGGCGCCAGGGAGTTCAGGATGTTGTATAGGACGG